TCGAATTTGCATTTGGTCCCGTAGATAACATTGAAGGATAAATCACGTGTGTGTGTGTGGGGGGGGGGTTCTGAATGACCGGACTCTAGAAGGTGGCTATCCACAAATTGAAGACTTTGTCATTCTTTACTCATCATCTTTCATTAACCAAATCGGGTGGGAGTAGTGTTCAGCTAGGCGTTTACGGAGAACACGCTTACAACGTCCAACGTGTAATCAGCTCCACACACGAGCATATGAATAAGTATATATATGCACATAGAGGTGGACGCACATAAGCGGTAGTTTATCCCTGACGCATTGTCGAATCATCTTTCGGCTGGTAAGCACGAAAAGTAAATCAGTCAGTTGCATAAGAATAGTGTTTAACACATTTTGATAGACGACTTTTTTAATTACTTCAGAAATAGTGTCACATTTGAACGTTAAACTCATAAACAGTGTCTTCTTTGCCACTGTGATTTGTGATTTGGGCTGGAGACGGTTTCTTCCTTGATGTTTCTGCCAATAAACCATCTAGAACATCGACTACTTAAGAAAGTTGTGCGAAGGTTTTCTAGTTCTATCTATATCGACTGTATCTACAAAGCGGATTTTCTGAATTCTCGAGTTAGAGAACGAATAAGATTTCTCTTCCTATCTAGACGGTGTTGTACCAAACAACTGTTGTTGAGTTGAGTTAGTGAGTGTACTACCCTTTAACCTCGTGCCATCCTCTCTTCCATGTGGTAGGTAGCATCACAACTAAGAGGTGAAGTGCGGAATCTAACTCCTCTTCTTCGATAGTGAAAAGCATAGACGTGAGTGAGTACCATTAAATTTTCCAAGAAGCTCAGCAGAGTTAAACAGTTTTCATCACAAATAATGATGAAGGTCAGACTTGAGATTGTATCTTTCAGTGGTCCCTTCTCCAAAGTCTCCATAATGAAGAGACATCCACTAAAAGAGGTCTGCTAAAAGAGAGACACCATTGTGACTCCATCTCTGTGGTCTGGTTATAGATGATATCGTTAGTTGGCACTCCAGTGTTCATGCATTCTAGATCGATATAATCACTGTGGTAGTAAGTAATTCCATATTAGTTTGTTTATTAGATGGATATATCACACAGTCAGTGAAACAGTATTAGTATTTGCTGGATAAGGAAGTTTCATTATTGCTGTTCATAACCATATCACCAATTATAATCACACGACTTTGGAACTTGAGTTCTATAGTCACCTTTGTTCTCTCCTGTTTGTCGTCGTTGGGGTAGTAGAACTTTCCAGATATCCGGATGGACAGGTGTTGAATCATTCCTATTACACGTATTCTCTCTCACTTGGTTCGATAAACAAAGCTTCTGTTATCAATCTTCCCCACTCGCCACCCTGTGACATTAGATTTTAAGACTGTCATCCTATCTCATCCAGCCTATTGTACGGTGGTGTGTGATTGCATGCAGTGCTTGCGATAGCTTCTGAACTATTCTCTAGATTTCTTCTCTTATTCGGGTCAACTAATGTAGATTTCGCTGCTAGGTTTTTGTGCTTGGCTAGTCTGACTCACTGACCCTGTTCTACTACTTTGACCTGTGTAATTGACCTGACAATCATTGCAGCAGCAGGGGATTAGATAAACTAAATTGTTTTGTTTTAATGGATCCACAGGATTATTCCTTTAACCGACAAACCTTGTTTCTAATTGGGTTTGTGGTTGGTTTGAATTCCAGCCACTTTATTCCTGCCTGCCTTGCTAAGAATTCTCCGCTATGAGGTTTCCGAGGTTCCTTCCTTGTATGGAATTACTACTTATGATTTAGATTCTTTACTGTTGGTGTTGTCTTGCGCACATTTGACATGCATGTCATCACCAATATTATTATTATTGCTATCACTACTACCATTATTTATTTTACTTTTACATTTCCCTACATATTTCCTGAATACTTTATCAGAGTAATTATTGAGTTTCAAGGCTTCTCCTGTATGTCTCACTTCCTGTCATAGATTTTCCTTGGTACTACTTAGTTTTTGTGCCCTCTTGTCACTTAAACATTTCACCAATCCTATTTTTACTGACATAGGAAGGGATGATCGGAAGTGCAAATATCTGTTTGAATGTGTGGGTTTCCTGTAAACGCAGACTAGTGTTTAACTTCCCATCTTCTTTCCTTTTTACGCTGCAATCTGACATTGGGAGCTCCCCTTCCTGACTTTCCAATTCATCATAAGTGAATTGATAAATTGCCTCCAGCTTTGAGTTAATGTGTTCGAAAAATCTACCTATATCCTGTGTGCTAAGTGTACAGTGAATGTGTCATCTACATACCTCCACCATACTTTTGGGTTGGGTGGGCCTGAACGCTTCAATCTCTATGCTTTCCCACCTATCCATGAATGTATCTGGCACAACCGGGGATATTGGTGATCCCATGGCAACTCCCTCATTATGTTTGTATATTTTCCCTTGGAGGAATTTAAATACTGCGTAAGTCAGGCATATCTGTACTTCCAGCATTATATCCTCAAGTGGCACTTTCGTCCTAAGTTCGAGTTCTTGGTCAGAAATGAGTTCGTTTCTGACTGCCTCTATACGTGTATGTAAACTGACAATGTCAAAACTAACCATTTTCTCTTCATTATCTAATTTTTAATTATCTAATCCATCTCTGTTTTAGTTCATAAGAATTTGTTACTTTAGATTTTGAGTGACTTTTAAGGGGATTTAATATCATGGCTAAATATTTAGATAATTCATAAGTAGGTGAATTTCTAAAATCAACTATAGGTCTAATATGGTATCTTGACTTATGAACTTTAACAACACCATATATCCTACTGGGGTTATTAGTTTTGGGCATTAATAAATTAAACCACTTAGACTCACCTAGAAACGACTTCATTCGGCGTATAAGGTCCGCTGTGAATTTCTTAATTTTATTCACAACTGTGTCTATTGATTTATTAATTTCCTCATATGATCCTGTTTCTATGTGAGTGTATTCACCTTGTCCAAATAGTCTGATTTGTCTAATACTACTGTTGCATATCCTTTGTCTGACTTTGTGATTACTATATATCCTTGTTATTCTTAAGGTGTTACAGGGCTTCTATCTCTGATTTTGTCAAGTTAGGCTTTTCACATTTTTGTCGTTTTAATGTGTAAGTGCACATTGTACCTGTACTTCGTCAGGAAGTCGATCCTGTATCTGAGCCATTTAAGATTTTGCTAGCTGCACTTTTGTATCCAATAATTCGTCAACTCTGATGGATGAGATAGGTACAAAACTTAGGACCAAGAGAGGATGGGGATTTGCATCTGAATCCGGGAGCTTCACACACGCACTTTAATGACCAGCTAACACTAAGCAATCACTACTCTAAAAAGTTTAACGTTGTTTATATTTTTAAAATTCCATTATGGGTAAATTTTATTTTGATAAAGTCTCACAGTGTTGTTATACAGTAATATTTACTGATGACCAAGTTTCGAGCACAATTTATTGCTCATAATCATATCAAGGTAATCACACGACTTCCTAAATTCATTTATATAGTTCCATTGTTTTTCACTTGATTTGATTGGTAGTAATATTTCCCATATTTCGGGTATGTGTGATGAATCATTCCTATTGCATGTGTTGGGTGTAGATTCGATGAACAAGGATTCAGTAATCAACCTCTCTCTCTCCCCACCTACCTAGATTACCTTTTAGAATTTTAACCCTCTCCCACCATGCTATTGTGTGGTTGTGTGTTAATGTATGCATTGCAATTGCTGAGGTTTTTTCTAAATTACGTATCTTCTCTGGGTCAACCATTCTTACCTTAGATAAATTCTTATGTTCTGACAATCTGACTACCCCTGACCTACTAGTTTGACCTATGTAGTTGACTTCATTCACAGTCATTGCAGGGTATTTTGTAAATTATATTATTTTGTCTAATTGGGTCCACTGGGTCCTTTAACCTACAGAGCTTGTCCCTGAGTGAGTTTATAGGTTTAGATGCCACCAGCCTAATTCCTGCTTTATTTAGAGTCCTACGTAGAGTCTCAGGTGTCCCCTCTTTATTTGGTATAACAGTAGATGACTTATATTCTCTCTTATTTATGTTATTATTACTAGTTTCATAATTATTTTTATTTTTATTTCGGCCTTTTTTAATCTTCCTAATGAATTTTATAGGATAGTTATTTAACACCAACACCTCTTCTGTCTGTATTATTTCATCATTTAGGTCTTTTTTGTGCTACTTAGTGCCATTGCTCGGTTTGTTAGACACTTACTTAACTAAGCCTGCCTTAACAGACAGTTAAAGGATGAGATGAATTAAAGTCTAAATATCTATTAGAATGCGTTGGTTTTCTATAAACACTAGTGTGTAGTTTGCCTTCTTCTATTCGTTTTATTTTACAATCTAACATAGCTAATTCTCTTTGCTCATTTTCGGCTTCAAATGTGAATTTTATTCCCTTTACTAGTGAGTTTATATGCGTGTGTCAACAAGCTAGAGATATGTTCTGCTTTTCACACTGTGAAAGTGTCATCCACATATCTCCACCATATTTTTGGAGTAGGATTAAACGTTGTTTTAAGAGCCATATTTTCCCAGCTATCCATAAATATATATGCTACGATTGAGGATATTGGTGATCCCATTGCTACACCTTCAGTTTGTCTATATATTTCGCCATGGAATTTAAATATAGTAGATGTGATAGATATTATTACCAATCAAATCAAGTGAGAATCAAGTGAAAAACAATGGAACTATATAAATGAATTTAGGAAGTCGTGTGATTGATTACCTTGATATGATTATGAGCAGTGATAAATTGTGCTCGAAACTTGGTCATCAATAAATATTACTGTATAACAACACTGTGAGACTTTATCAAAATAAAATTTACCCATAATGGAATTACACTCTACCACAGTGCCCAAGTTTTATTCTTATATTTTTAAAAAAATTTTTTTTTCGTATTTCTCTTCCCCCGTTGTTTTCTTTCTTCTGTAGGCGCATCGAACGAGTTGTCACATGTTTCATCAACATCGGTGATGTTAAATCCTCTCGAAATTGACTGGTTGGAAACAGCTACTACTACTACTACTACTACCAAGGAGGAGCATCCTTTAAATACCTCGAACAATCCAACTGATCAAACTCCTGTGTTGAATGATTTTCCAGATATTTCTAACCACCACCCTGTACCCGATGATGATGATAATCATAATGACACTGGCAGTGATACGTCGTCGGCGTCGTTGTCGTCTTCGCCCCTTTTGTCAGAGGAAGAAGAACAACACCAACAACACGAGAAGCTGTCTCAGGCACAGAATAATTTGATGCATTTAGATGAGAAGATTTTGTCACCGTTTGAAAAGGCTTTAGACTCAATGGAGGCTTATTTGGATGCTATCACAATGCGTGTAAACAGTTTTGAACAATTACTACTCAAACGTAATAGCAATCGATACAACCAGAATACTACTGTGATGATGAGTAATCCTCATTCAATGGGTTACAATAACAACAAGACTTACAAGGTTGCGCAAAGAAGAAGAAAATTACCCGGTGAAAATAGCAGCAACGTTGTTCATCCACGCGGAGATTTCAAACGTCCACCACCACCGCCTCATTATCATCAGATGTTGTCGAGTAGGGGTGGGGGTGGTGGCGGTCGCAGTCGCAGTCGTAGAAAATACTCATCATCATCATCACCATCGATGATTATTCCTTATCGTGGAGAATATCAAACTCTTAGAGATAATATGCGTTATTCAGAGAATTATGTGAATAGTACTCACAGTGCTGCTGCAGCCACAGCGACAACTCAACGCATCCCCTACTATGCGCAGAACACGGCGGTAGCCGCAGCACCGCTGGCAGCATCACAACAACAACAATAGCAGCAGTTGTGTGTGAATCCTACTTTCAAGTGTAGTAGTACGCCATTAAGCAGAACTTCTTCCCCTTCCTCTTCCTCTTCTTCTGCTCACAAGCCTGTCATTCGTCTTTTGAATAACGTTCGATTATAAACTCCTGTTAATAGACGCTGTCATTCCTTTTGTTAATGCTAACTCACTATCGAAAGTGTAATTTATTATTGCCCTGAGTTTGTCACACCACCACCCATTGCCTGAGTGAGTGAGTGAGTGGACGAGTGATATTTGCGCGTCACGTCGTTTTACACTGCCTCCTGCTGATGAGATGCATTCCACCTTTTTTTAATGTTTGCTACTACTGTGTTTTAAAGGCACTTCTTAATCAACCCTAAGTGTTCCTATTATATTTTCGAAGACACCTTCGAATCGATAATACCACTGTGGAACGATTATCGTCAACATTAACTCCAAAAACAAACACAAGGACTTTTATATTAAGTTGTGTATTTATTGTTCGCCAATTAAAATCGAAGTCGATACAAGTTCTATAAATAAGCAAATGTTTTACAAGGAATGCACCAGTACTTTTATTCTTTTGTCGTCTTCTTTCAACTTGTACCCACGATTGAATCATTTGTGCCTTTGAGTTTCCCGCCCAATGGCGACCAAGGTCAATCAATGAACCAATGAACGTTCAATGTTCACATTCATTTATACTTCCTGGCAAAAACTGGGTCCATCCCTTTTTTCTATCATGGCATTAACCTTTAAACTGAACTGCCAACGCGAGAACTTGGGCCAACAGGGGCTAGGCTAAAATGGAAAAACAGGACAAAAAAGCCCCAACGTGCAACAAGCATACCACATCACACCAGGACGACTCCCCATTCGCCCTCTGTCGACAGTACCACTACTGATCTAGTCCTCGAGGTGTTCGTTGCTTCATGTCACTCTGGCACAATCCCCCTCCCTCCCCGGCGTATCAAATCGCTTACAATCACTCTAACACCATTTCGATTCGTTCACAATTGTAGAAGACTAGAAATGACTTCAGATGTACTTACAATAACAACATTACAAGATGATTCACACAATGCAACAACTATAAAATTAACCAACAATTAAATGAATTGGAACCCCTTTCAATTACTTAACACAAATATATGTACAATCAATACATTAAATGTTGTCGATTCTGCCTTGAAGAATTGTAGGACTTACAGCAGTACGCCTACATTCCTTCTCAGGTTGACGATCCAAATGGAAAGTGGTCCAGACACAAACAATTATTATTATTATTGTTCTTTTGTAAATATTTTTACAATTAGTTATTTTCAGGCTGTGTTTATTTGTACAACTGATAAAGCATGCATTTCCCCTCTAAAATCTGTATACTATTCTCAATCTTATACCCTTCCCCGCCTCCTTATAATATGCATCCGCTGGAATCATGTTTGTATATATGTTCATATTTGTCAATAAATTAAATAACTGCCCCTGTCTGTCTGTCTGTTTTCGACATAGAACTTTGCATATATGTGCGGCAGTTCAAGTCGCCACACTCCCTCCACTCTATGTACCACACAAAGCAAGAGAAGAAAGTAAGAGAAATGCCTAATAGAGAGACAGTAAACAGAGGTGTGGTGAGACAAAGGAATAGTAATAACGAAGAACAAAACAGTTTCATTGGAAATCAAAAGTCACAAGGAGTGGATGCATCTGCACCAGCCAGCCAGCCATTGAGAACGATTTTGAGCCATATCACCAATTGTTTCCAGCCTTCATTGGTTTTTACCGTCATCCCAAGGACCTCAACCAGTCAGGAAGCCAGTCTACACCTTCCTACGTGTCTGGCTGCCTTAAACTAACTGTTGTGGATTTCTTCATTGACTGGTGAAACCATGTTTTGGTTTGACCGCCACTAGCTCTTTTCCAGCCTGACCCATCCTATATCAGCTAACATTGCCCATTGTCGAGGAAGGCGATGACTAGTCATGCATGCGCAACACATGTCCTAACTATCTTAGTCGATGTAACTGCTTCACAGCCTAGTCGATTGATTTCCCCTCCTCATTACCTACCACTCGACCGACGCCTGACCTCAATATTGCTCACCTTATTTACAAGTTCACACGGGAGATAGAACGCAGGCACCTATGATCGAAGACAGCTAGCCAGGCTTTTCATGTCTTCCACTCTCAATGGACTAGGACTTTAGATATTATATTAGTCAAGCTAATCCCTCTGTGATTATCACAAGAAGACTTGTCTCCCTTCTTGTATATCCGGGTGATCAGTGACTTACACCAACCCGATGGGTATTCCTCTGATTCCCAGACGCTGCATAGAACCTCAGTTAATGCAGACAGTAATCTGTCTCCACCGTACTTAAATACCTCTGGAGTCATTCCATCAGGTCCCTCTGCTTTGCCTTGTTTCAGATTAGTGACAGCTTTAGTAACTTCAATTAAGGAAGGAGGACTTGTGTTTGTATCCCATTCAAGGAGGTGTTGGATGTTGGGCAGGTTAAATGTGTGGCTGTAGGCCAATGAAACTGCTCCTCATAGTGCTCTTTCCAGCGTTCCAGTCCTCTATCCTGGGAGCTAATTTTGGTGCTATTTTTCTCGGAGATTGTTTCACTTATCATTTGCCTATTGCCACCTGTTTCCCTGATAAGCCTAAATAGTTGTCTGGTGTTGCCAATCGCCGATGCCTTTTCCATCTCTTTCGCTTTTGTCACCCACTACTGTTCACTGCCTCTGCCATGCATCTAGATTGCTCTGTGTATATACACATTTACACTATTATGTTAGATTAGACAGAGAGGTAGATGTACTTGAAATACAGAGAACACCTTCAGCTCTACAGTAAGTACTGTTTCTCCTCTCATGACATTGATTATTGTGATCATGTTTATGAGAATTCGGAGGTGGGTGGGGTGACGTGGAGTGAAATATGTGCGTGTGTGAATGTGAATGAATGGTCCTACTATCATTGACGGCATAGAGGTTGAAACTACATCTAATGTCAAGTACCGTGGACTTAGTATTTTCTCCGATCTTTCGTGGTCCTCTCACATCTTGCTAGTGACTAGAAAGATGTTACGCTTAACGTTCTACGTTAGGAAGTTTAGGCAGTCTGGTATAAAGCAGTCTTTGCTTTCTCAGTTTGTCAATTCCTGTATTCTACCCATCCCTTTTTACTGCTCCCCATTAATCTTCCCTGGACTACTTAAGAAAGACTTTGCTTCGCTGCGTAGGGCACTAAAAGCTGTTAGTAGGGGAAGTGGGATTTCGTTAAACCAACTGTTCAACACCATTGTGTATAGACATGTAATGTCATGTAAGAGACTAGCGAATTCTATATTGTCAGACCCCGAACACCCTCTCTATACGCAGCTCTCTCCTTGCATTTCATCTGGTAGAACTAGAAGCAACTATAGGAAGCTATATGCCAGGACTACCAAGTATAAAATCTCCACAATATCTTATCTGGCACAGATGTTATGTGATGAGAAATCCGTTAGGTATGACACGATCAACTTACTGCGGCACTCTAACAAATATTTCCCATTAGCTTTTGTTCTCCTTTCTTTGTTACTATTATATTGTTGTTCACATCTTCTATTACACAGTAATTTTATATTTCATATTCCTGTGGTGCATTGTTTAAATATGTGAATGCAATGCTGTTCTTTTTTATTTCTTTTATTTCTCTTTTTGTTGTTGTTGCTTTATATTTTTAAATCCTTATAAAATTTATGAGGTAATTAGATGCAATATTGTAATGAACGCTGAAAATTCCATACCTGTACCACAAATACTGTTTGGAATAAAGCCATTATTATTATTATTATTATTATTATTATTATTATTATTATGTGAATGGCCCTAACATATGTGGCTGCCTATTCATTACTAATAGTTTTGCATCGAGGAGTGAACAGTTAACGAGGGTTATTGGTGGTATTTGTAATTCCCAACATCAGTTAGAGGATCATGGAGCACTGCACAGTTGTTTCGTCCTAGTTTGGGACTCTTCACTCTACTGCACATTATCCTACAAAGTAGCCGTTATCTGAATATCAGTCTCCAGCTGATAGATGGTCACCACCATTGGATGAATGTGCTGAACCTGAGAAGTAGTAGGTAAAGGTCAGTTGGGTCCCCACCCATGTCATGGTGAAATGGATACTCACAGAAAAGGAATTGGGGTTGAGGTTGGCAGCTCTGTATCTCACAAATTGACAAAGTGAGGATTCGTGTGTCACTGAATCCCAACCCAAGTGACTGAACGATCAACGAGCTTTGTGTGGGTGGGTGGGTGGTCACCGCCGGATTGGAGTTCTTAAATAGGATGAGACAGCTGTACACACTTCTTCCTGGTTTTCTTCGGCCTGTAAATCGTCTTGTTGTTTCGTGGCGGAAATCTGCCATTTTGGAAATTAACGTAATCTAAGTTTTTAGTATCGTTTCAGCGCTTACAAGCATTGAAAGGAGGTTTCCCATCCCGACCGAAATCTCACTTAAGTTTTATGAATATGTGCGTCTTGGTATTGCTTGCCTTTTTCATGCGTGGGTGGATGGGTTGTCTGCTGCATAGGGTTTCAAAGTGGTATCGAGCTTCAACAGCGGTGATGGTTAGCTACCTTCATGCTCAACCTTCTTTCTCACCTTCACTTAATACCGACTAGTGAAGCAGGCAGAGTTGTTTTGGAGTGTAATGGCTAAGAATGGTGTTTTTTGTATAAGTTGCTAAGGCTTCACTGTCCATCTGGACGCTTGTCTGGCTGGCTGCGTATGTGAAGCCTGTCAGGGAAGAGAAATCTTATGCGTGGAGAATATACAGTTTAGACAACGTCAAAATAAATTAAAACACAAAGTGATTGAGCAAAGAATATCCTTTTCGATAAATTCCTCCTCTTCTCGCTCTACAATCACATTTATATGCATGTTTATATACATAGAATATTCTAGATTAGTAGTCAATAACAATATTAGTGTGTGCTTTTTAAATAATATCGA